CAGCCCAGGCAGCCATGTCGGCCTGTGGAGTGCTGAGGCCCAGCCCAGGCATTCACCTCGGCCTGTGGAGTGCTGAGGCCCAGCCCAGGCAGCCACATGCTCATTTCTCTGTGTCCTGCCCCTGCAGATCTGACACCATAGATGCCACATCGTGGTGAGCAGAGAAGAAGCTGCTAAGAATTCTGTGAGCTCATTGTTTTCCCAAATTTAAATATTTTCAAGAGTGAATTTATATGAAAATACTAGAATGCAATTGTCAGCTAACTTTCAATGAGGAAAAATAATGAGCCTCAAATTACAAATAAAAAGACGCAAAAACAAACAACACAACAAAACTAGAAGATAATTGGACCTTAACTTTCTTGCTACTACAGAGATAATAGGTCAGAAAATTTCTAGGATTAACTCCCGGGGGCCATAAGATGTTTATAGTCAGAGAGCCAGTTAGTGGATACAGACCTTTCTCCAGTCTGAATACACTCCAAAGCATGGGGTAGGGGGGACAGTTGGAGTGCTTTTCTTGTGCACCAAGAAAAAAAATGCTATTGCCTGATATAATTGTATTCGTTTCTTTACTTTAAACGTTTCTTTTAATTTAAGGAGTGGCTTATCCTTCATTTGCTATTTGTTGAGTGATAATATGTGTTAAAAGTATCATCTCAGCCCTAGAACGTCTATGTCTGTGACAGATTTTCCCATATCATGAGGACGTGTCCATGTTACTGGAATCCCCGCAGCCTGGCCCGCTTACTCTCACTTCCAGGTGACACTCATTTTTCTATGAGTGCTGAGAAAGCTGGCGCTCATCTTTCCGCCAGCACTCATCTTGCAAGCTCATCTTCCCAGTGAAGAAGATTTATCTGCTTGCTTTTGTCCACGTTCTCCTCTGTCCCCCTTAACACCCACCTGCATCTCTTTGAAAGTCAGCTGGTTGAGGGCATAGGCGTAGTTCATACCATAAAAAGGAATAAAACTTCACAAGATTCAGGCTCATGACCTCAGCCTTCATGGGCACTATACCACCTGCACTCCCCACTGATGATATTATTGGGCACGCACCTGGGCAGGTACAAGACCTTGGGGTACCTGGAGTAAATGAGTGGCTAGATGAAAAGCTCTATGCTGGGCTTAGCACTGACTCAACTCTTTTTCCTCTCAGGGGATGGAGGTGGAGGATAACCTGCTCAGAGGGCTGACAGCAACTTAGAATCTTTGCTCTTTTGACTAGCGGGAGGATCTGCCAGTTCAGGAAATTATGTGACTTCACGATCTGATGTTGTAGGAACTTGGTCCAGTTTGCACTCCAAAGGAGGTTAGAGCAGGGGGACAACTGAATTATAGAGCATGGTTATCTGGGAAATAATTATTTTGTTGTCTTTCCAATTGTTTCCTAATTATCTCCATTCCAAGCCTATAAGCTGCAATACTTTCAGCATTAAATCTCTTTAGTCTCCAGTGATCTCATATGTAAAACTGTGACCATGATCATACACACATGTGGCATTGTATGGATTACATGAAATAATTTATGTGCCAAAAATATATTAAGAACTCAAAAATAATGATCACTACTTTTGTAATTTCAGCGTATTCATTATTCATAGTAGTAATTTGAATATTAAATATAAAGGTAGTTAATCTGTTTATGAATCTGCAAATAGATGCCCACCAGTGCTTAAAGCTGAATGTTTAACTGGGGCATATTTGGACAATATATTCAACTTGGTTAATATTAGCCATGCAGTGATCAACAAACCACAATAGAAGGTGGTAGCTCAGTGAGCTATCTTCACCTCACTGCACTCACAAGAATGTGTTGATCCAAAAGCATACCCATGTTCTTAACTATTTGGCTAGTTAATGCCAGCTAGATACATTATACATAACCACAGCGATTCAAAGACTTTGCCAAATACTAGACTCAACCTGTAATTTTCATGAATCAAGAAATAAAACTGACCAGCTCAAGGCAAACAAAAAAAGTCAAGGATTATTATAATTTTAAGAGAAGTCATGATACTTTAAATCACATGCTAAATACAAAAAAGCCATAAAATTTACTTAAACACATACAAATCAGAATACAACCTTGTTGGAACTGTGGAATCTCAGACTACTTCTGAGCCACGGTCACTGGAGATGGTTCTCACCTGGGGTTTGCGCTCACTCAGGGAGCTTTTACGTCTTTTATACTAATACTGATTGTTAACTGTCACTCTGTATACCATAAATATTTATGATTTAAGAACCTCATTGGCCTTTGTTTGTATAGTAAATACTCCTTTTCAAATAACCATCTATTTAGTATATTTTAATTTTTTGTTGTTGTTGTTAGAGACAGAGTCTCACTTTGTCGCCATCAGTAGAGTGCCATGGTGTCACAGCTCACAGCAACCTCCAGCTCCTGGGCTTAGGCAATTCTCTTGCCTCAGCCTCTCGAGTGCTGGGACTATGGGTGCCTGCTACAAGTATATTTTGCTTTTTAAAAAAACTCACATTCAGGAAAAATGTTTAGTAGAACATATAACTAATTTCATTTTCTAGTAAAACAAGCTGTAGATCTTTTTTTTTCATGATTTTCAAGGTTTTCTTGTATGTTCCTCAACTTCAGCCTCATGCACAAAGTGATTAGAGATATTCTAACTCCAAGATGCATGGGACTACCAGGTACTAATGAGAATAACTGTCATGGGGAGGGAAATGAGTCCTAAAGTTTCAAAATCGTACTTATAGTTCACTGAGCATGCAAAGGATGTTTGATGAGTAAGTGAAGAATTGAATCAATGAAATATAGTGTGTGCCTAAATTTAAATGAGGCATTTGGAAATAATGGGCACAGTGATACACTTTCAATAGTACATCATTTCTCCACTGAAGGAGACTCTAGTCTAACAACTTTAGGTTGCTTCTATAGATTATTGCTATAAACATTTACTCAAAAACTACTAAAATATTAAGAACACAGACCATCCGTCCTGGTCCTCTCTGTTAATACCAATTATATTTTCTGGGGTGATACTATATATATTGATAAGATAAAAAATAAATGTTCTAGCTATGTGTATATAAATATTTTATATAGGTATATCTCCTAATCACTAATAAACATTATATAGAATTTGAACATTGAAAAGGTATCATAATGCTTGAATATGACCTTGAATTGAAAGGATTCTTTTAAGAATTTGACACCTATCCTATTAAGAAAACAAAGTTCTCTTCTACTTTAAGGCTTAGTATCTTTTATTTTCTTCAAATAGAGGCATGGTCTAATCCTCTGCTTTGAACGTGGTCAGAGTGAGGGAAGGACTCACTGTCACTTATCTATAGACCCTCCACAGTTACTGATAAAAAAAAAATGGGCCCTGGATAAATTAATGTGAAGTGATACAAATGTTTGGTTTTGTTTCCGAATTCAAATGTATTTTTACAACCACACAAACCGAATATTCTATGTCCACTAAGACTGAGTCCTTGGTGCTGGGGTCTGGGTGAGATCTGGGCCCTGCTCTTTGCTACCTGCAGTGGAGTGATCCTGTGTTTCCATGAGGCCGTCCTCCTCGCGCCTGTCTCTGCCGTCTTCTTGGAAGTCTGTGCTGGGGCTGTAGTGTCGGGGCTTCATTAGCAGGGATTTCCTCTTGTTGACGGGGACGCCCGGTGCCTGCTCCTCAGCCCTTCTCTTCTTTGCCACGGAGCAATCATAGGCAGCAGCACTGCAGTGATTGAGGCACATTAAGAACACGGTGAACTCGTGTTTGCTGCTGTTTGATGTTTTATTTTCAGGGAGTCAAACCCAAAGCCTTTGGAAACTCAGGACTAGAGGTTTAGGGTTAGTCGTTGGTGTTAACAAAAACAGCCCATCTGTGGAATCCATTGAACTGTGTGGATTCTATTTTACTGCCTATCAGAAGAGTTTAAAAAAAAGTCATCCTTAATCCTGAGTAAGCATATGTTAATCTGTGCTTTGCTTGGCACTACCCTGCATACCCAGGGAGGGATGAAACAAGATTTGCCCTGGTTTGCTAATCCTAAGAAACAGCTAATGTGAAAAATGCACCACCAGATACCAAAAAAAAAAAAAAAAATGTCCATCCAGTATGGATAAATTACATGGTTTTTCAGATAGTTGTGTGCTACTGAAACTGCTTATCTCTGCCGCAGTTGTGGGCTCAAACTTGAAATGTCACACATCTAAGGCTTTGACTTGAAAAAGCACAGGGTGAGGGGTAAGCCACCAGCATTCAGCCAAACAATCTCCAGTCCCCAAACCAAAAGAAAGTGGAAAGATGCGACGTGGGGCTCTGCCTGCTCATTCTCACTCATTTGGCACACAGAACAAAATAAAAGGAACGGACAGAAGGTGAGATTTCACAAAAGATGGACAACACTTTATCTTCACTCCTGTTTTCAGGCAGTTTTATTTGGAAATTCTCCCGAGGGAAGCCCTTTCAAAGTAGATTTCCTTCTCGTAGCTCACTCAGAATTACGGCTGATTGCTTTATGTGTGAAGCTAAGGCAGACATTCTCTTAACAAGATCCATGGAAATCAGATGGTTAGCCAACAGGCAATAAGAGCTTTTTAAATTTTTATTTACATTTTGAGAGAGTCTTATTCAGTCACCCTGATAGAGTTCCCTGGTGTCAGAACTAAGCAATCTTTCTGCCTAAGACTCCCCAGTAGCTGGGACTGCAGGTGCCCATTGCAATACCCAGCTAGATGAGAGATAGTTATTAAGTGCTCTTGAAAAATGCTGGAGCTTTAGACGAAAAGATCCAGAGGAGAAAATTCTAGACTCGGAGTAACAAGATACTACTTACCCAATCTCTAAAAATGGTAAATTCTCAGTGATGTTACTAAACAGAGGCCTTTAGTTGTTCTCTTGCAAACTTCAAGAGAAAAGTGGTGACTTGTCTATGAAAATGACCTGGGTAGAATCCTTTGGGAACTCTTGAATTTAGAGGAGTAGATTAAAAAACTCCCAAGGTGGGGAGGGGGAAGTGTCATATATGCTAAGAAAAATAAAAGCTTCTTGAAGGAGAGATAATATAAGAGTTAGAAATCTCTCAAGAAAGAGTAAAAATTGAAGAACTGCAAATTATTCTGATAGACAAGAGAAGAGTGAAGTTTCTAAATCAAGTAATATGTTTTCACAAAATTTCTCTGATGAGCCCACATTTGAGGTGACACTGTACAGAAGAATGGAGCACAAGAGAATACGCCGGTGACTACAGAGCAGGAATGGTGTTTACAGAGGACTGTGCAGGACATAAGGGCCTGCACAGACTGAGCCTGCTGGTCCCCACCACAGGCTGGGATGTGAGGACAGCCAGCCCAGGAGCAAATCACTCTTGTGCTTCTTTGTCAAAGGAGACTGGCTCTGAAGGGGTTGAAGAAACCTATCAAAGGGAGATAAATTTCCTAATTATGTGAAGAAAGTTCCAATTTCCTAAAGGAGCTTAAGTCTCCTAAATCAAATGAATTTCCACCAAAAAAAAAAAAAAATCCTGAGAAAATACATAAGATCACTAGGCCATTATAAAGAACCAAGAAGATCTGTAGAAAATGGGAGAGGCTCCGAGGTCTTTCAGGTATTAAAAGAGGGAAAGAAAGTAAATTCTAAAAGCCCCAGTGATTGAAGTCCAATGCTGGTATTGGGAAAGAGGCTGAAAAATTGCATTGAAATGAAGATTTGTCTGGATCCTGATTTCAACTCTTCTGTAGAAATACAAGCAGTGACATTGCTGGTTCATGTGGCAGTTTTATTTTTAAGGACCCTGGTGCTGTTTTCTATGTTCATGGCAGTGTCGTTCACAATAGCCAAGATGTGAAACCACTGAAATGTCCGTGAACAGATGAACGGATAAAACAAATGTAATGGCACATGGAGTGAGGCTCTGTTCAACCTTGAACCAGTTGGAAACACGTCACTGCGCAAAAACACAGAGGAAACTTGGGGACATTATTCTAAGTGAAATAAGCCAGACACAGAAAGACAAATACCGTGTTGTTCCACTTGATGGAGACTCGTCCACGGTCAAATTCACAGAAGCACAGAGTGTAATTGTGTTTGCCAGGGGCTTGGGGAGAGGGAAAGGAGGGTTTACTAACCACCCGGCACAGTTTCAGTCAAGCAAGATGAATAGGCTCTAGAGGTCTGTGGTAGAACAGTGTACCCAATAGTGCCTTGTAGACGTAAATATTTGCTAAGATGGTAGACCTCATGTTAAATGTGTGTGTGTGTGTGTGCTTTGTTGTTGTTGTTGTTTTAATTGAGACAGAGTCTCACTCTGCCACCCTGGCTAGAGTTTCCTGGCATCATAACTCAAAGCAACCCCAAATTCTTAGGCTTAAGCCAACCTCTTGCCTAGGCTCCTGAGTAGCTGGGGCTACAGGCACCCATCACTGTATCTGGGTAGTTTTTCTATTTTTAGTAGACACAGGGTCTCACAGGTTCAGGCTGTTCTCAAACTCCTGAGCTTAAGGGATCTACCTGCCTCAGCCTTCCAGAGTACTGGGATTACAGGCATGAGTCATTGCACCTGGCCTTGTTAAATGTTCTTACCACAGTAAAATTAAAAAGAAAGAGAGAAGAGGAGAAAGGAGGGGGAGAAGGAAGAGGTTTGCTGGCACCAGGGAGCATTGATCCATGAGACCTGAGGTGGCAGGGCTTGTTAAATAAGGGATTTCAGCCCGGAAAATGTTATTTCTTTCTTTGATAATTGGGGTGATGAATGGGGCCAAACTCACACTGACTGTAAAATCTTTACAAACTATATCTTGCTATTATAATATTATCATCCACATTTATTTATAAAGGCAAGTAACATTTCCACAATCACATAATTGGGAATTGGTGAGGCCAATATTTGAATCCAAGTCTACTGGGCCCACAGCTCACGCCCCGTCTTCCATGTTGTCAGATTGAGACAGTCGAGCTAATTGCTGGATGCATTTGACAATTCACTAAATTAGAACCTGGGTAAAGTGCTGATGTCTGTAACTAGAAGGAAACTGCCTGCTACTGGGAGTCGGATGATTTGGGTGGGGAAATAAAAAACATTCATTCTATCTGAAGAAGACTCCGAGTTGCAGCAATAAAAATCACAGTGCAAAACACAAGCAAGACCCTCCCCAAACGTCCATAGCCTGGAGCAACAGAGTGACAGTAACAAGATGGTACCTGATGGCACAGAGAGTTCAATAGTTGGGTCCGAATAGTAACCACCCAAGTGTAGGATGGACAGAATATCACAAAAGGGGTTTTATCAAAGTGCAGATTTAGCTTATAAAATTAGCTTTTGTATCTATGAGAAGATAAATGAAACAGCATAAGTAACACTAGCTGTGTAATCTGTAACAAAGAGTTTACCATTTTGGAACAACAAATTCTTCATCTACTACATGGGTAATAATTTCTATATCACATATTCTGTGGATAAAAGAGATAATATCTCTTAGGTAAAGCAGACCTGTTCCGACTCTCTGTCAGGCTCTCTGGACTCCATCAACACTATCTAATGCCATCACTTCATAGTATCCCACACCCCCCCCCACCCGTGCACTACACAGATTCATGTATGCCCATGAATGCATTTTATTTTTTTAACATATTATTTCTATTTACATAAACTGAATCAGATTTACACATAAAATTTTCTTTAAATCTCACATTCTGTGTATTTCTCCATTGGAAAGTACTCACGGCCCAGGCAGCATTTGGAGCTAAAATGAAAGGCTTTATAATAAATATTACCCTTTGTGTTTGCATGGAAAATGGTCCCTTTTCCTAGTTTTCCCTGAGGGCACACTATTTTGGCTTTATTGTGACACTTCACTGTGACACTGCAATGAGGGAAAGCCATGCTTTACATGTCACTGAGAGAAATGCCACAAAATGCTAACACATCTTCTCAAGGTTGCCAGAAATCATTTCCACTGGGTTGTGTTTTCCCATCTGCAGAGCTCTGAAATGTTAAGGAAATAAATGAGCTCTATTATCTATATTTTTCTAGTAGATGAGAAAGAAAGAGGAAAAATACACTCAGCCCTGCATTTATTGTTCTATTCAATCAAACTGTTGCTTTAAACATCCAGAGTTCCCCCGGGAACTTTATTAATGCACCAAATATTTTTCAATGCCATATTTCAGGTTTTGATTTTATTAAAATATCTTTAAAGGATCTGTATTTTTTTTATGAGAGAGAAACTTTTTGGTTACGTATTTGAGAAATGCTTCCATTTGGAAAACTGAACTCCAATTTGAAATGGTATTTCCTTTGATGACAACATATGACTGAAATTATTTCTGAAAAACCACTGATGCAAACCCTAAATAGAAACATTAATAGTAAATTAAGTTCTGGAAGTGGGTGTCGAAGTCAAATTCATTGACCTTTCAGGTACCCCGTTTTTTAAAATGAAGGTTCAACAATAGATGTGAGCACATGCCCAAAAGAATTAAACAGAGAAATAAATGGACATTGTGAACTCCTGAGTTTAAGGAAAACATTTACATGCTCCAATGTTTTCATGGAAAATTCAGAGCAGGTATTCCTACTGATTTCTTCTAATTAGGCAGAACATTACAGGCTCATTGAAAGAGGCTGATAAGTAGGAATTTGAATAAAGACTAAGAAGATTGACAGAAAAAAACAAAAGTACGATGATTGAAAAAGGAAAAAATTAAACTATTATTATTTGGAGAGGTAAAAT